AAACATAATCAACACATTATGAAATGAAACTGTAAAATCTAAGGAATTCCAATTAATACTGTCCTGCAATGCTTCCCGCAAAACTAAAATTGAAATTTCATATACAGCCTATCCAAAGTGAAACTAAAACACAATGTTGTTCTGATTCTGTAAGGAACTAAATCAGTATAAACATCTAGTACCTAGGTTTTACAGCAGGAACACACAAATAAGCGAGAATTTCCATTCCCAGATTCAACCTCTAAAATAACAAATAAACAGAAAACATGTGCAGTAGACATTTGGTCTATCCAAAGGCCACAAAGAGATCATTTTGACAGCATTATGTCATCCATGATTCATTATTCCCTGTCAAGATAACACCAGCTGTCAGCTTCATGATCCTACGCATAACATTAAGCCCGTGTTTGGTGGGTATTAAAATCAGATTTTTAGTAGATTTTAATAAAAGTTGATGAGATGTGTGGTAGAAAAGTTGTGAGTCCCAGAAAATGTGGTTAAAATTAATGGTTGACTTTGAGTTAGATTAAAATCTGGATTTTAATTTTTACCAAACAGAGGCCAAGTAATTTGAGCTCAAGGAAGTTGTTGGTCTTACCTTCTAGATGTGCCCTTGCTGTAGTTTCTGTGAATCTTGTCTTGGGAAGAAGCCGGAACCTTTGAGATAACCAGTGAGCTTTGCAGCCCTTCCAATAGCTGAGATCAGAAAAGAACTGGTGGTGAGGCGTGCTCAAACAACTATATGATAATTGCAAATTTCGTCTCCTGATACAGCACCCGTCTTCAACATATTCTGATATTGTACAATATTTTTGCAGAGTTTTTTGGAGTTTACAACTTTTGTACAAGATTTTGGGTTGTGAGTGAGCGGAGGTCGAGAAAAGATTTTCCCTCGGCATATTGCAATCCAGCCGATATCATTTCACATTTGTAATCAAACAGTAGAAAAGGAAAGGTTTCTTGATTCAATATAAAATAAGATTCTACAAGCAACAGCCTTTCCATCTATTCTAAGCAAGGACACAAAAAGAGTAACAAAAGTTCATTCAAAAAGAATAAGTTTAACATAAAGACTCACCCTCGATGTTGGCTGAATTCGGCGATTTGATCTGCGGGGTTCACCTGCTTCAGGAACAGAGTCATCATTAGCATCATTATTTGCTGACTTCCTACCAGCAGGAACGAGTTTTCCTTTGTTGGGTCGGTCAGACTTGGTGCTTGCTGCTGGTGCTCTCTTACGAGTCTCTTGGGAGGAAGCTTGAGAAGAAAATAAAACAGGTCGTTCAGCTGCCTCTTTAACATTAGAAAAAGATCCAAATGCAGTCAGATTTTTCTCACCTGATTCATTCTCATCTTTTAAGTGGGTCAGGTCATCCTTACGGGAGAACATTCTACTTGGAATGGGCGGTTTTCCAGAATTGAGAGCTTTGGATTTAGACTCAGCTGCTTGTTTCTCCTTCAAATCAATTTTAGAACTATTTTTCCACCCACGGGATCCTGATCCTTGAGGCATTAAATAATCAGCAAGTTTCACAGAATCGCTGGGCACGTTAGTCTTGGAGCTCTTATCCGAAACATAATGCTTACTAACATCCATGAACTTCCTCTTCTTTCCAGGTTTAGGGACGCCAAATATAACTGTTGATCCATCTTTCTGCAAACCAGACCTCATAGTTCTCGTAGCATCTGGCTTACTATTGTCCCTAGTGGTGCCAATACTGAAAACTTTCTCATTAGTAGATAATGGTAGCAATCTTGATTCTTTTTGTGTCCCGGGTTCCCCAAACTCAATGTCTTTTGGCATCTTCCCCTTCCCCTTTGATTCAATAGAAGTGCTTCCTCGCTTTAACCTTTTCTCCTGAGGTGAATCTCCCTGAAAATTGGGTGTACAGCTAAGTGACTTGGACATTTTTATGAAACGAGATGCTAAACATATAAACGAGTAAATATAACACCTGTGAAGAGACATCCTTTCTCGATCTGGACCATTCAATCCATTGGCCATCTCTCCAAATTAGAGTTGGCCTGAGATTCCATGCTTTGACAAGAGAGAGATCTCCTTCTGCTACAACCACAACCAAGTTTTTATTTCTCAAAGCCACCCAATTAAGTAGCTGGCAACAATTTTTGGGACCTATTATCAGAAGTACCTGGGAAATGTACGCTTAAATTGGTTTCATCTTTTTCATTTTTCTCTGTAATCACACCTTCACGCCAGCTGAGACAGGTTAAAAATCAGATGAGATACATGAGGAGAGAAATAGAGCTTTAAGCCAAAGAAACAAAAGATAAATGAGGAAAATCTTGAAGCATCCATCCATAGTTAAAGACAGCTGAAGATGAAATTCTTATAGCATTCTAAATGCTATAACAGACCCAGGCAAATATACTTCAAAGACAAGACAAGGGCTGATCTAGTGGAGTCAGATGAAATGGAATGTTCTATGGACATTTCAAATAATTAAAAATCTTACGCTTCATTCATTTTGTTGCCAAATCTTTCGAAGTATTGCCCATAGAAAAGCTTTTACATGACTAAGAGATAAATCGCATATCATTCAATCTGTAGTCAGTAAAAGGAAAAAGTACGTAGTGTAAAAACAAAAAACATTATTTATTTTGAAAATAACAATAGATTCTATGTTGCTACACATTAAATGCTATTGAGATGCTTAATGCTGTGGCATCACAAACATGTAGATGTATATATGTATTTAGCAAACACAGACAGCAGGTGCAAAAGTAGGAAGAGATAAAAAAGTAGGGTCAGGAAACCATTTCTGAAAGTGCAAATGGGTCCTGAACCTTTATTTTCTGAGACCGCCATCTCTATCCTTTGAGTAATGTTGCAGCGCAAGTTCTTTCGACGGAAACCGTCCAAATGGCTATTAAATACACGCGAGTAGCACATGCTCAACTTCTTTTAAGGGTAAAATAGACATCATAAATAAATATAAAAAATAAAAAGAACAAGAAAATGAAAGAAAAGAAAAAACACTCAAGTCTTCCCCAACCATACCCACCCCTGCTCAAACCCCCAGCTACCTACAACAACCAATAGCCTTCCAAATCCCAGGAAACGATTTCACAGCAACAGCTAGCATTTCATCAATGCAGTGCCCTTTCTTATTACTTGCTAAGATGACATTGGATTAATATATTTTCTCAATTTCTGGGTAAACTCTGAGCCAGGAGCAACTCTCTCGGAAATTCTTGATTTACAATTCAGTACAATTTCCTGAAAATGTACAGATGAAAGAGGTGGCGAAGGTTATGGTTGGGGTGTGTTTGGGGTGGAGGCTACAGTGGCTAGTAGTGGTGACATTATTGGTGGAATGTGTGCCGTATGGGCTTTGGTGGGAGTTGGGTTGCACAGGCGATTGGGTCCGAATCTCCATCTTGATTTTGGGTATTGCGTTCTACCACAGCCGGTTATGGAAATGGAGTCAACGGTAATGGGTTAGAAATGGGATTGGAGGGGCATTTGGTGGCAGCCAGCGATTAGACACTGGAGGGGATTTGGGTGAGATGGGTTGGGCGTGAGGTTGGGGTTGCAGTGGCAATTGGGCAGTGAGAAAGGCAACTGGCGCTTGGCCAGTGGGGGTGGGCTATTCAGAGAAGATTGGTTGTTCACTTGTTTGTGACAACTGGAGGTCACGCTCAATCCCCTCCAAAGTGATAGCGCAGTGTACTTTATTTATAATTAGATACTTCATCTCTGTTGGTGTATTTAAGAAAATGATTAAACAAACACCAGATCCAGAAGAAGACAAAAGGTCCGAACTAGTAAATATCAATGAGAAAACAAGATAAATCAAATAAGAGAAGATGCATCTCATTACCAATCTTGAACCCATGCATCAACTCTATCTCCAACAGACCAAGCATAATCCTTGGCAGCTGCTCTACTTCTCTTCCTTGTCCCTTCAAGTTGCACAAAGGTCATAGGATGTGGAATGCGTATTATCGGTGCTTTATCACCTTCTGCTGCCAGAGGTACCCACTCCTTCAGCTGTTCTGACCCTAAACATAGGATCACATCAAGAATAACTTAAGATAACAAACACCAAAAGAGCTCATGAATAAGAAATATATACAAGCGTGCCGAATTCAGACTCGCGTGCATTGCACCTCTAACCACTAAAGAGAA